CGACCTTCGACTTGCCGGAAAGCACCTTATTTTCCGTAAGAGGCGAGGACCCACAACCGTCATTATCTTGTCGCTGCTCTTGTTCGATTTCGGTCAGAATAAGCTCCTGACTCCTGAGCTTGATATTGTCGATAGTTCCAATACATCGTTGAAGTAGACCCCCGTGTTTTGGGTAGTTGCTACCCGGCGACAAAGACAAAGTTTCTCACGATAGAATGCATTTGCGATTCGCTAGGAACAATCGTACTTCGCTTCCTTATGGGTGATTGAATGCGGTCTAAATTCGAGATTCTTCCGATGCCGCTCGGACCCGAGATCCCTCTTCGGAACGGTTCAGACGCCATGATAACCTATCCGTTTCCCATGGGGGGGTGAGGCTTGTTGATACCGTGGTCATTTCGGAAGGAAATCAGTAAGATACGGGGCTTCCTGCGTCATCTATGACTCCAGTCAAAGCAACGCGTCGCGGAGCGCTCACCGGCGCTGACAGCCTCTGTTGGCAGCCTTCGCGGGAAAATTCCCTCCTCTACCACGAAAGTACCGACCGCGAGTATATTCCAAAGGTTCCGAGCGCGAAGCATGCATCTTATTAAGTGAAGCGAGTCTCATGATTCTCGCACCGTGATCGAACGGTACGCCGATAAGCTGTCGATTTATCACTAGAACAACAAGGACTAGGTCATTTTGTTCGTAAGTAACGAGCATTCGCTGCTGCAAATGATTAATATCGCGTCATGATCAAGGCTCCGTTGCTGTCGCAGGGTCGGCTGTGGTTTCTCACCTGATCATGAAGGATCGTTGGGAGAGGAGGTCGGGACGCAGAGAATCAGTCCTCATATAATCGAATTACTCGCCGTTGGTGCGATATACGTATCACGGAAACTTTGTGAATCATGCATAGAGTGCTCGTACTCGACCTGTGAGAGAGGATCGTTCCTGCTGCGTCCCTCTACAGGCTTGGCGGTACTCGTCCACCTGGGAATCCGAATCTTTCCAGACGTATCGTGGGCTGTGCCACAGCCGCTGTGGGAGGTTGAAGCAGCGTATAAAGCAGAAATTATGAATTGAAGAAGATCAAGCTCCAACTTGACAACCAGAAGGCTTTGGCCCTCCGATGGGGAGCCGGCGACGGGCCTCGAGTTCACGGCTTGATTTGGCCCCCCTAGACACTTGAAGACTCAGGAGTCTCTGTTCCTACCGACGCACTCACATATCATCCTCGCGATCGGGATTTGGAAAGTCAGCGACTCGCGATGTTTTCTGGGGCTTTTCGGGTCATGGGAAGCGGACCGACTGCTTGATCCCACGCAGGGCCGCCGAGACGAGCCTTCGCTCGCAGGTTCCGAAAACATTTCGCCCAGAGATAAAAGAAGGAATTCGATAGATTGTTTCCATGCAAATATCATAGTCTCGAGAAAAACTCGATTCATCGACATCCGATTGCCCGTTGATTCTCTCCTCACGGAATGAGGGGTGTATGGGTGCGTCGGATTGAGAATTTCGCGATAAGCGTTAGCGCCGGCATGTCACTGGCTCGTTACTTGGCGAATCGGTGCCACCATGGATATCACGCGTGTTGAGCCGAGAATCTCGCAGTTCATCAAGGAGCGTAATCCCCCCGAGGTATCGAGTGGGGAACTTCCAGTCCGGCTATGGACCAATGCCCCGCTAGATGACTGACTGCCTCCATTCAGTCTCCTGTCGTGAGTCTCCTGGCTCAGATAGGAAGCGACTCTCCATTGATCCTTGATCTGAGGCGCGATGCCGGAACCACCTAGGGCACCTACATGTAATATATTGATATTCGCGGACAGACCGCGGGAACCTTCGCCTCTAAATTGAGCGCGCACTCTCCCCCCGATCCACAGAGGCAGGAGAGGAATTCGTTCTACCGAACGATATACTGTACCACCCACGTTCCGTAATAGTTGAGGAGTCTCGGGTTTTTCCGCCGCGTGAGCCTTTCAAGAGGAATCCCGACGGCTGAGGAGTCGGGATGCCGCCGTGGAAAGCCACAAAACTACTTCTACCTACTTCTGAGAGCCTGGACAATCACAATTTTCAGACGGAGCCAAGAAAAAATGATATCTGTAGAAGCCTGAGCGATGCTTCCCTTGTTGCGTCGGATCCGATTCGAACGGGAAAGGTTCTCAATGACACGCTTCGTCATTGCTCACTCCCAACCTGCGGATCCAGTTACGATTGGAAGCAGCTCGAGGAGATGCGATCCACGATGCATGAGAACTCCTGTCGATTCGAAGAACGGTGAACGATTCCGGGAGAAAACTGTTCCCCGACCGCAGTGGAAAATACATCTTGAGTGTGTTTTCCCCGGAATCCGTCGGCGCTCTCGTATCTCCGACGAAGGACGGGACCGATTATGAGCAGGCCCCGAGCAGACGTAACTGCGAGACAAGTCGTCATTGCGCGAGGAACTTCTACAGGAATGAATGCGTCGCTCACAAAAGCTCGAGGTATCCTCTGGAGTTTCTCTTCTTCTGCGAGCGACAAGTAAGACGACATATTCCTCCTCCGCGAACTACCATTGAGTTATGTTCCGTTTTTGACATGGAAATCATGCGGGAGGAAAAACACGGCTATCGCCGCAATCGTCCCCTCGTTTCCAAGGCGCAGAACTCACTCAGATCAGAACCATCGCTATGCAGAGCAACAGGACGGCGGGCCCTGAGCGTGCTCTTGAAAAAATTCATCTCATCGAGGAGAGATTTGGCGGACACCGTCGTCGGTTCTAGAAATTCCGCGCTCACCTTTGAAGAAGCTCGAGCGCGGGGAAAAACTCAGCGTTGACGGGGATTTCCTGAGAGATTTGGATCAAGGACTCATTCTCATCGGAGCCGGGAGGAATTTACAATTAAAATGAATTTCGGGATCATTGCGGCTCGAGGAGCAGTGAGCGCGATCCGATTTCCTTCCTTTCTAGATCATTTTCGCAGTGATCGAGTGTGTCTATGTATATCTGATACTCTGGTCGACTCCACATCCACGCCTTCCAGTCTTTCAGTCATAGGTATCGGTACGGCAGGTGAGACACAGTCAAAACGATAATCTCTACTGCGGCTTGGGAATCTCTTGAGCTTGCATCTCGCAAGCTAGAGCGGCGACGCTCGGATGACCTGCTTCGTATAGCTGCGGGAGAGCATTCTCTGCGTTTCGAGCCGACCCTCATGACAATCGGGACACGGAAAATAGGGCGGTCACCTTTCTATATCTCATGAAAGTTTCCGAGCCCTCCTAGAATGGGGCCAGATCGCCTCGGGGGGAAGGGGGAGGGGGGGTGGCATAATCTTGACGGTGTTGCGAGAGACCGCGGATGCTCGAACTCCTCCCGAGTATTCAGAGAACTCGGACGTGGTGAATCTGCCGGCTGGCGGGGAAATAAAGAATCCTGAGCAGCCCCATTTAGTCTCGCCTCCGAGAATCAAATGCTCGAATCGATACCACACGAGGTCGGAGGACAACTCCAGCCTTTGCACCACGAATTGTCTGCTATACGATCGCTGGAGCCCTCCGACCGGCTTATGAGGGACTTTACTCCCGTGGATCGATTCCTATTTTCCGTTCTCTCCGAACGCATGTCAGGGAAGAGCCCGACAGAATGGGCAGGGACTCAGCGCGCTTTGCTTCCGAATGAGCGAAGAAAGTTTCTCTTGAAGCGTTTACACCGGCACTTGAGAACGGCATTCCCACGAGGATTTCGCCGCGCTGCATTTGATCCCTTCTGGCGGCGTAATATCCCGCTCCCAAGTCCCAAACACGATTCACTCCCGCACGCGACTCTTTGATGGAGTGGGGCAATGCCGAATTTCATTGAAGAGCTTAAACGGGCTAAGCTCCCGTTCAAAACTCATTATTGAGCAGAAAAGCCTCGGCTCCACGACGCTATCTCGGGGTCAAGGAGTTCCGCTTTCCGGGAGACGCTCGTCCTCCTAGTCGAGACCTCTCCTGTCTCCTCCATCCAGGGTCACGCCCGAGCGAGCCCATATGAGGGGGGAGGGGAGAACAAATACAATATGTATTCCCATCGATTCTCTGACTCTCCACATGAGTCTTGTAAGTCCGACGTCCAAGGAGGAAAAGTTACCCGACGATGCAGAGCGAGACCCCAGCTGTTGCCGCTAGAATTTTATTTTCTCGCGAAGAGGCGATAACTGTGCCTTACAAGGAATCGAGGGGACAGGGAAAATTGAGTTAGTTCCTGTCAGCTCGAAGCGAGAGTCGGCGGATTCTTGGCACCGCGGAACTTCGCCGCTCGTCACGCTTGATGTGATGAGCGACATCCGTTGAATTTGAAGATGATCTTCGAGAAACCCAGATTACCATGGAATTGGATGGAATCTCGATGCTTCCGCGAATTGTGGGATCCGAGTGTCAGCAACTTTCGCAGCGGGGTGCTTCTCGCCTCCTCCGTGCCCCGCGGCGTATCCACGCATATTTTCGCGGAGACCTATAATTAGGGAGTCGTCGCTGATTTCATTATGGTCGTGGAAGAGAAGTTCAGCGGATTCCCAGGAAGTCATCCAGACGTTTGGCGGATTTGCCATCGAACGGACGAGGAATGAGCCTCATTAGAACATGCCTGATTCCGAGAGTAATCCTGCTCACTCATGTCTCCTTCAAGTTCTCGTTATACCCCACACGATGTTCATCCCACGTAATAGGCTCCTTCCATCGACGGGATTTATCGTTCCGCCGAGACCGTCGGAATCCGGCTTCTACTCGAGTAACCCCATAATAATCACTCTCCATTCTGAAATGATCGCTCGCGCCCTCGCGTCCTCGCACACAACATCGAGGGCTTGGCTCGAGATTGTGGAGACTTGCTTTCCTTGAAGTGTCGCAGCGAGCTCGCCGTATCGTGAACAGCGGTCCGCGATGAGTACCCAGGTTTCATGATTGGCTGAGGAATTCCAAGTCCAGTGCGTGAGTTTCTCACGATGACGTTCGTCTTTACAGAAACTCAGAGAACTTCTGAGAAGAAAATGAACTGCGCTGTCATATCGGCCGAAGCTCAAAGTGCATCGTTCAACTTCAGCGCCTCCGTGCTCGAACTAGGCATCTCAGAAGAGGTAAGGCTTGACAACGTCCACAAAAGACATAGGGAGGTAGTGACTACCAGAAGGAATGTAGTATGATCGTGACAAAATACAGGTCGATGAATTTCGGGAGGCTCTCTAGCTCCTGGGTTTGACTTCCTCGTACTCTGGCGATTCTCCGCTCGTCGGTGGCCGAATAATCCATTCCAAGCGAGACGCCTCACCAGAATTCCTCAGTTGTCTTCGGTCTAAATTCATCCAGTCGGTCTGGTAGCAGTTGCTCTGTTGAGGCACAGACGGGGATGTCTCCGAATGCTTCTTATTATATTCGTCCATCCTTTTCGTTCGGCCCTTCGTTTGTCACCGTGTTTGTTGGACTCGATTCGGATTCACCACAATGAAGATCTGACAGCGACGTCGACAGAGACTGATACGCTCATTGCTGCCGCTGCCGCCCACGACGACAGCACCCACAGAGGCGACTATCAGGCGGAATAGATGCACGTCGCGAAACTCCGAGACGGTATCTGTGATTGGTGTCTTATCCACGGGGAGGGAGCATTCGGGTCCGATGCTTCCATCGAGAATTTCGTGCTCACACCACCACCTCGCTCGCCTTTCTGTATTCCGGAGCCTGTACTGACGGGGAGGATACATCTACTCGAAGATAAATCGTTCGCGCAGCCTTCATCTCCAGCAACAGACATCAGCTCGACTACTCGTGGCCGGTGCGCCGCGATCTGCATCCGTGTCAAATCCTCGAGGCAACGTGCGAAGCGGTTCCGCCTTCTTGCGATACTCGGTGTCCTCATCCGTCGGTACGGTGGTCCGCGCTTCTTTGACCACTCTCTAGGTACCGATACCCATTGTGGAGGAGATTGCTGCTTCGACCTCCCCAAGCAAGGAGTCATCTTCTACTAGCATTTTCGATGTGCGAAGGCTGAGCTAGCGCAAAAGCCCTCGCTCGGAGCAAGGAACTCACTCATTGTCCGCCAAGCTAGCGAGCCTCTCCCAGAGTGGTATCCGAGCCAGAGAACATGCTCTCCTTTCCAGGGAAGGAAGGAGACGCTAGCTCTCGCCGTGCAGAATCGAGCCGCTGCACCGTTCTCCAAGGTTCACGCCGGGGGCACCGCTTGTGTTTCCCCTTACCCGTAAACATCTGTGACGATCAGCGAGCAAAACTGTGTTCGTGGAAGTTCGCTGATATCACAAAAAGCTCCCCTGGACTGACATGAAACTTCAAATTGCCATCCTTGTTGGTACTCGGTAATGATTCTTTGCGACGACGTAGGGGCCATGTTCGACGATGTGGTGTAGCTGCTAGGCGCCTGGAGATTCTCAGGGAGCTCTCCGTTTCTTCCTGTCGTACCGTCGCTCGTCGAATCTCTGGAGACGCGGATTGTATTTTTTGATGACAGAAAAACAGACCAATTCAGTTTGTCGTCGCGCAGCATCGTTAAGCTCGATCCGAATCGGCTCTTCCAGGTGGAATGGCCTCATGTCGCCCAGCTGCTCCTCTATGTCACGGTGATGGTTCTTTCGTTACTCGGCAATCTCTCGGTAGTGATTGCTGTCCTCACCCAACGGTCGATGAGAACGACGGTCAACTACTACCTGCTGAACATGGCGGTGGCGGATGTGCTGATTGTTATATTCTGTATGTGGGTCCACATCATGAAAGTTTACATATTCCGTGAGAATATTCTCAACGCCTACAAGCTTGGACCTTTCGTTTGTCGGATCGAATCTTTCGCGAAAAGTGAGTAGATACTTTCCATCTGATCGGGAGCGTTTACTTTCGATAGCATGGCCTGGAGGATGATCTAGCTGCAGAAAGATGCTTGCAATGTGTGCGAATAATGTTTTCGCGAGGAAATATTAGACTCGTCAGAGCGTGGGTGGCCTCGGAGTTAATCTCGGCTCTCGCATGCACTTCTCCTCCTTCTGCTGGTCATGACTTCCGTTTTTTCCCGACCTCACGCTAATGTGCGGCCTCAAAGACTCGTTAATCTTTTTTGTGGAAATTGCGTCGTCGGCATATGAAGCTCCCAAAGGATAACACAAAGGATCAGCGTATCGATTTCTCATGCTTCGAATAGGCTTGTGGCGCACCTCTGTCTCCCCCACTGCAAGCGAGGGACTCGCAACCCCTCTTCCCGATTTCAAGTACTATCGAGGAGGGCAGAACCCAAAGAATAGTTCGTGTTTCATCCTGCGAGAGATGCGACGAAATAGCGAAATGAACTCCGTCTCGACAGCTTCACTTCTGTGTAGTCGGGAGGGAGTGGGGACCTCGCCAGAATTTTGCGTGGAGCGTCGAGTCAGCATGTTCTCTCTGCCTTCCTTTAGAAGGTAGACGTCATTCATTACCGGTATGAAGCGTCCGCCCTGCGGATAGGGAGCGAGCACCTGAAGTGCAGTGTCAAAGAAGGTCTAATCCATTTTTTCACGACAACTTGATGAATTCTCTTCTTCAGTGACATGTCTGACGGCGTGCGTGTTGACGTTGACGGCTATATCGTGCGACCGTTTCATCGCGATACTGTTCCCACTACACGCGGCCGCACGTATCACCAAACGGAGAACATCATGTATTATCCTCTTCATTTGGATAGTGTCTGCCGTTGTAGCCTTACCGTTAATCGTCTACACGAAGCTTTACACTGTTCAGGTAAGTTTTTGCCCGCGGCCGGCGAGGAGCTCAGTCAGGAATGCGGCCTCCCCCGGATTCCCGCGAAATATTCCGGAAGTCGCAGGGGAAAATGAGCCTTGACAGTCTAGAATTACTTATCCGCGTCCTGTGAGGATTTCGCGCCATCCTTTATTGCGCGAGGGGGCAGATGGTACATGTTCGAGATAGTCTCTCGAAAATATAGACTCCGCTCTGAGAAGAAGAGATGAGTTCCTTTCCTGAAGTAGAGCTATTTCCCGATTGAAGGCATCGTTGGGTGCCACACCTCCATATATCAAATTTTCGACCGCCGATTCGACCCCCATGGATGGATTTCTCTTTTCCCTTGTCTCTCGGAAACAACAAAATGTATGCCCCGGTTGGCAATAACCCGATCTCTGATCTTGCAGTTTGCCGACGAAGAAGAGATTTCGTATTGTGGGTCATCCTGGCCAAGCGAAGCATTGTGGTCCCCCGAGAAATCCGAGTGTGTTCTCGTCTACACCATGCGGAAATTGTACTACGTCATCGCTACTGTGACACTATTTTTCCTCCCGATAGGCGTAATGCTCACCGCCTACTCGTTCATTATTTGGAAATTGTGGATCAATCGAGTACCTGAAGAGCTTAGCAACACCAATAATAATTCCTTGCATAATCGTTCGAAGAAAAAGGTGAGCGCTCACCGATCGTTCCTTTCCGCCTCCCTCTGTCGTCTGTGCTGGCTTTGCGATCCCAGGAGCTAAGTGAAGAATATAGTGTGGAGAAGTCCTGCTAGGAAAAGAAAGAAATTAAGCGATCCTCATATCATGTCGAGGGACTTCGAATAAGCGAATATCCCTTCCGATTGGTCAGAAAAAGCTCTCGATAGTATCGGGAATATATTTAGCATCAGACAAGCCACCTGCCACACGAGCCGCATCCCAGATGCGCAAGCTCATGCTGGAGGTTTTTTTTGTCGCAACCAGCCGGCATTCTCTTGAGCTGGCGGACACGATATCGCTGCTCTGCAAGAACTTCGGGTCCGGATCGGCTCCTCTCGAAAACTTCGGAGGAAACCCGTTATCTGCCACTCACAATAGATCTAATTTGCAGGTTGTTCAAATGGTTTGCTACGTACTTCTCGCATTCATCGTGTGCTGGATGCCAATCCAAGTTACAGTTCTGTATTCTCAGTTCAGGGATGATTCGAACACACAGGTATTTATCCTCTATGCATCAAATAATCAATTACCCCTTCGAATATCGATCTCATGAGACGGTCCTTTTCCAGATGCCGGAATGGTTCACCACATTCTCGTCGTTTGCGACATTCTTAGCGTTCGCAAACTCGCTAGTCAATCCGGTCATTTACGGCGGCTTCAACCGACAGTTTCGACAAGCAATCCTCCAATTACTCAAGTGCAAGCCCACGAGAGTCCAAGAAGCGAGGATGCGTAAGTGTTTTCCCTTGTTCCTCTCTGTAGATCGAAGTTCTCCTTTGTCCGTCGAGCTACTTGAGCCTGCTTGATGTTACGCCGGATGCACTCATTCGGACCAAGCCAAATGCACCGTCCCAATGTGACTCTCGTCCATCCAGACTTTGTCGCCGATGGCAGAGTTTCACTTAAGATGTGTACGAGCAGCTGAAGGAGGAGAGGTGGTCAAAGACGGCGTGGTTTGTTTGCCAACACCCAATTAATCACTAGACATGCCGTACGTAAACAGGAGATGGAACGCCTTTGTTTCTTTAGCATCATGGCTGGTCAGCCCAAAGAAGAGCACTGACGACGGACAAACATATCCCATTCATTGGCTCACATCCACCGCTGACAATAGTGACTAAACCTTCGTTTGATCCAGTTGGACCTCGAATCGATACGCAGGCAGCCGGAGCGATGCTTGGCCAAACACACCGAGATTGAAAAACTCTCCTTTCAGGTTGGTCGACTCGCGACGGAACCATGGCTGTTCGGAGAACGGTCACCCGGACTCGAGATCCCTCGAATGCTATCGATACCTGCCAGGATACTGTGATGACGATATCAAATTTGGTCGCTTGAAAATTTTCGGGGATCCGGGTCATCGCGCAGAGGAGGTATCCTAATGGTCACCGCATGGGGGGTTCGTGGCCGCGGAGACATCGAGCTCCGAGCGTTTTTGGAGGGTTTCGGTAGAAAGGAACATTCGATACAGAACATTTCTTATGTGATGGAAGCGGAGCCGGGAGCGGTTTCGCTTTACGTGGCTTGTCGTACTGGAAATCCACCAAAATGAATGTACCTACCCTTTGACTTGCGAGACTCGTGAATCAATCAACAGTGTATAAATATAAGGAGTGTGCGAGCATCGTGACGGTGTGAGTTTGTATTTTATGTCCGGAAGTTATCGAGTGAGCTCTGCAGCGATCAATGATAACGCTGAGTGTTCCTGTTGTGGTATTGTGTCAATCGCATTAGGTCTTATAGGAAAAGTGGAGTAATAAAGAGCAGGATCGTCGGTCGACGTGTGTATTGGAATCAGCTTCGAGGTTTTGTTGAGTCTGGTAGTTCAGTCCACGCGTCGTCGATAAGTCACGGCCGGCCCATGGACTATCGATTTGTTTCCGCTCTCCGATGCGGCTCCAAGGTTGAACTGGACACGAGCTCCGACGCCGGAAGGCGACGCACGGGAAAACGTGAAGACCACGTCAGGAAGCGCGCGGTATTTTCGGGTCACGCGTCGGCATCGGTTCTATTATTTCTGGAAGCAGTTCTATCAAAAAACTACGGTTCTCATCGATTCTTCTAACTCGCTGGACCCCCTCCAACTGAATTTACCATCTCGTGAACGGGACCTGGGTATCCATCCACCACGACGTCCATCCAGACGAAAACCTGGATATCCATCTCTTCGCGGCCTTGATTCCCCGGCGCTCAGCGGATAGCTCGTGCCATTCAAGCTTCATGTATAATATATTATAGGTACTTGTCAATCTAATGGGAGCACAGAGTCGCGAGCTCGTAAAATCGAAACGAATGGATAAAGTATGTTCCGCTCCGTTGAGAAAGAGATGGGATTTGGGGAAGCCAGCCTCGTGTCTGGAACTCGTCGAAGGTTGGCGTCTTATAGATGCCAGGGTCCGAAGCCTCGGATGCTCAGCTTTCCCTATGGGACTGACAGATGATGTATCCCCATGAGCACGTAAAGGTAGATTTTTTTCGAGACGGAAAAATAGGAAGGAAACGTAGACGGCTGGGTATCCCAATGATCGCATGCTCGTGATGAACACCCCTCAGCAAAACTCGCTCGTATTTCTTGGATGAGAATGAGCTTCCCGACCAACAGAAGTTTACTGATATCGCCCGGAATTTCGATCGGGCTTGTCCTCCAGTGGAGAGGTTTCTCTCCACAGGCTATGACGCGACAGTTGGATTTTCACCCTCCCACGGAGAATCGCTTCGAGGAGTCCAACCCTTCTGATACGGCTCAGGGAAGTCGCTCCTCGACACGATTCTCGACTTGACTCTCTTCGATCCGGAAACCCTATCCATTGGAAGTGTATGTTCACTTGTCAGCGTGCGGACTCGGGACGGGTCGAGCCGAACCCACTAAAAGCATGGGTCGGCAAACCAGGGGGGCTCGAGAGAAGGCTGCCGGAACCGTCGCAAATGACTATTCGCTGACGAAGTCGTGACGCCGGACGCTAAAACATCCCTCAGAGAAGATATAGGCCAGCGCGAAACGAGAGTTTGGGACTATCCGCCGCACTGAAGGTTCGACTGAAATCATGGATTTCATCAGAGGAGTCTCTTTTCGGGACGGCCACCAGGAACCTCTTCAACATCGAGGGCAAAGGCTCGCGAGCCGGAGGAATCCCTGTAAAAGTGATACGGATCCCTCTCGGAATGATTGCTCTATTGGAGATTGGGAATAACTCCGGCGGATAGAGTCTACGGGAGTCAAGATGACGCCACAACCTGTAGAATCAAAGGAACCTGTGTATGACGGCGGTGGCGAATTCGAGAGTCAGTGTAGAAACCGCCAGAGTACTCGGCTCGGGATAGAAATTCTGCTTCGACTCTATGAATCAGGGCAGTTTCAGTTGAAGTTTGGAATAAATTCTACGCGGTCTCCCTTCAATATCGAGTTCAGGGGGAAGGAATCATGATTCCTCGGTGAGTGCCCATTCTTGTTGTGAGCATCCTTGTCCTATTTACGGCTTCGGGCCCAAATAGGAGAAATTGAAAAATCAACGAATCAGATCATCATCTCGCCTCTGGGCCTATTCCAGAGCGCATAATTGCGACCTCACCCACTAATTCCCTTGCCTGTTTCCCTTGAAACAGCTCATAGGGCGCGGAGCTGAGCGAACTCATATTGAGAATGACGTCGAAGTCATCAACGTGACATCGCAGAAGATCAAATATTCATGTGACAAGAAGTTGCGGAATGAATGAGGAATCGCGGTGGTATGTCGGTTTCCGTAAGTGATTGAGTGAAAGTATCGTGAGAGTATTGCTGAGCGATACTCACATCCTGCCTTTCCTTCCTTCGCTAAACGAAGATTGGATGAGGTTCCCGAGCCTCGGCGGCCACGGCAGCTTTCGCTCAACCACTGCAGCATCGCCCGAGGCAGAAGTAATTAGTTCTCGTCGGAGTCATCAGCGAGGGAAGGAGGCGATACACGAGCATCTGAGAGAGCAGCGAAGCGATAGGGAAGGTTGAAGATTCGGTGGAATTCAATCTCTTCTCCCATTCGATCCCGACGAATTCGGCTCCGGTCCCTGCGATCCTCGCGTCTGTCGGACGACGTCCCGTCGGTCGGAGCCTTTTTTTTCCTCTTTCTCCACATCCCTCAAAGTTTGGTAGCTGGAGTTTTCGTTCGCCCAGGGAAATTCGAGTGTCTGCGAAGGCTTCAGGGGAGATGTGATCGACATTTCCGGAGAATCATCCGCTCCGAAGCGAACAAAAGTGTGGTCTTGAAACGTCCCCGCTCGCAGTTCCAGTGCGTCGGTCTACGTGGCGATCCTCCATTGAGATGCGCGAGTAATTCTCCGAACCAATATTGGAGTACTGTCTACCTCGGAGAAGTCTCAGGAGCGATCATCAATTTTGTTCCATTGTTCTCACTTTCTTCCTCCGTTTCCCTGGTCGCTCGGTCCGCTTCCCTTTCCCCGCTGGGACAACACCCCGAGCCCGAGATCTGCTTCTCGCGACGCATCCATATTTTTCACCCGATCATCGATAGCAGCTTCTTCTCAGTCGCCGACGAGAGAAGAAACGTGTGTCGTAAATGTTCCATCCTGAGTGATGGAACCGAACTCTTTCCGAATATCTGGCGGAAGGATCCGAGACTTTGTTCGGAGCATTCGCCGTCGGTTCCGCTGATGGCGTGGTGAAAGAGACGGAATGAGTTCTGAGAGGCCCTAAGAGTAACTCGGGAAAAAACTTTCCTATGATCCCCCCCGACCCCCCACCGACTCCGGATGAAAGACATGAGGAGCGGACATCAGTATCAAACGTGATAGATTCTCCCATTCTTTGGCTCCTCAGGCAAGCCCTGTTCCGATCCCCCGGCTGTGCAAAAATCCCCAGGCGCGGCGACGACGGCGCCGTGAAAGATGTACGATTCATATCTGAGCTAGACGGCTTCGGAACAATTCAAATTACCAAACCCCCGTCCCCTCGACTCCGAAATGCGGCCCTTAGAATGATGGGAAGACGCTCTCGACTTCGGTACAACATGGCTCAATACCCAAGGGAGTGTCACGCATCGTGGGAATCGCTTTCGCAGGGGTTTGCTTTGGAGGATGCTGATGCATGACTCCTGTCTTCCAAGTTGCGCTCTTGACTCTCTGTTAGCTTCTTACCAGCCTGTCCAAACATGCAACCCTGAGCGCTCCGAGCCGGTCGAGGCCTTTTCCTGCCTACAACTTCATATTCATTCCATAAAGCCGCGGCGTTCTATTCCTCTCGTGGGATGCCGATTGCTATCTGTAGAATCCCCAGTCTGTCCTAATGCACTTCGAGAGCATCTTATGGAACTCTGATGTGTGGAGGAATCAAGTGAAACAGTCCACTCGTCTCGGGGATACTCGAGAGCCCGACATTGCTCAAAGACATTTGTTTGAGTTTGATTCCCGGAACTTTGTGATCGACCGAGAGGTTGATCGTTACCCGGAAGCTCCTTCTTCGTCATGCTGTCTCGTCTAAGATGACGCTTTCCGTCCCCGGGGCTGTTCGAGCTCGAGAAACTGAAAATTTGAGGAGCTGCATAGCTTGAGCCTGAACAAGCAGCTTCTGGTTGAGAGTTGTGATTTTCCCTTCCCATAAATCACCTCTGGCGACTTCCCACTCTCTGTTCGCATCGAGGGATAGTCATAAGTTGGCGGATATCGTTGGAGGGAATCCCACCAGAAAACGACCTGAGATCGCATCTCGCGTTCTCATTGAGGCCGCTCATCGGAGCTTCGAAAGCCCTCGAGAGCGTTGCCATGGGGACGGAGACTCGCTGTATTTCGTGTGAATTCTTCTCAATCGGAGGCTTCATTTAAGTGAACAGAAGTCTCGTCAACTCGATGATAAACAGCTTCCCAAAACTTAAAGAATGTCTTACGCCGGAAGTTACCGATTCGCGTCGATCGGTCAGCTGGATGAATTGGTTATGAGGTTAGTTATTTGAGGGCGGAACATTCCGCTGAGCACCCGTGAATGCGCGCGATGATCGCAGCATCGGACAACGCTCCCAACAGCGGTCCATATGATGAAGCCCTTCAATTTAATGACACACATGGCTCTTACTACGAACCGTGTTTGTAGAATATGAAAATATCGGGATTCGCCACCACTGGCTTCTAGTATGGAGCTGCCTTGAACTCCGTCCGCTCAAAGCCCCGATTCCACCTGAACCTTCCCCCCAATGTGCAGCTCGTCGGTCGGATTTGTATCATATAGGCAATCGTCGATAGTCAGAATTCATGAGCGTTGATCCGCGTGATTCAGCATCCTTGATAAAGTGATCAGTTATCAGTGATATCAAGCGAACACCTGATCCAGAGACTATCTTCAGTCATCGACTAACATAAGACGCCTGTCCAGAAACATTCATTGGCTCTCCCAGAGCCACACCCGTGGGTCTTGCGAGTCCCAGGATGTCGAGACGCCGGGAGTCCCTCTTAGACTGCGCCGAATTCGATGGACAAGCGGCAAAGGGTCCCAGTGCAGATATCAGTCGAGAGTACCGGAAGAAGGCGATTCTTCCCGTTTGTCTCAGCGAAAGAAGAGGGAAAGGAAGTTGAACAATGCAAGGACTCTCGGGAGCCTTGAAATCGTTGATTCACATTGAATTCGTAGGGCGTTCCATCGCCTTATCGACACCTCTCCTCCCGGCTCGTACCGCGTCAATAATTACACGACCCGTCAGAGTATTCCGGCGACTCCCGAGGCACTCGAGGGAGTTCCTGCGAGGGTTTTTCCCCAATGCGAGGGCTCTACTCCGTCACGTGAGGCATGATTTCCACAGCGGAGCTCATGGAAGTTCCAATCGAAATAAGGAGACCTTCGGTGGTCATAAGGACGGAAACCACGAGAGGGTTCGTCGGAGTCCCTTAGCTCGTTGGGAGAAATCGCGTTCCATTATAACCTGATCCTAGCCGCGACTCCCATACAGCTTTTTTTCGAAGGTCATTACTCTGGGTTGGCCCCGGTTTCGTTCGCGAGTCGCAGCCGGTTGCCCACCGCATGATTGGATGCCCGAACAAAAAGCGGTGTTGCAGAAAGGAACTTTGCAGCCAAGCTCTACGTCGCGATAAGAGCTCCAGATTCGTAGGGCAGAAGGCACAGGCGGGTCTCCTGTCGACAGAACGCAACCAATGGTCTTCTCTGTCACGGGAAATCTTCAAAATAAGTCCCGACGGGAGCTCACCTCGCTCCTCGAAGAGTCCCGTGAGAGCCAGGGGAAAAGCCCCGGAGGAAAGCGCGCCGGAACTCAGACGCAGCGAACACTTCCATAAGTCGTGAAGGGAGACGCTCGATTCGGAACCCGCCGAGCCGGCGTCGCGACAGGTTTTTGTTGGAGAAGTTTTTCCGCTGTGGAGGAAATGTGTGGAATGCGGACCTCCCTCCCATTAGATGCAACACCCATTCAACCCCCTCCCGTTAGTCTGTATCGTAGAAAGGAGCGAATTACGGAGTCGCATTTCGCTGCAGCTTCTCGAGGCAATGCCCGACGACTGGCGCTATGGGGAAAACCTTATGGAGCCTCCCAGGAGAGACGGGATTCCTGACCTGCCTCCTGATAGACCGCTGAGCTGTTCTGACGAGCCTTGACGGTCATCAAGAGCAAATTGTTCCCGGAGAGCAAAATGTAGCCCAGCTCACAAGCAGAGCGCTTCCATAACCATATCCTAGAGTCCTAGAAGATTACCCTGACCAAGCGAAGCTTCCCCCGCAGCCGGGAAGCAGACGTCTCTTTCCAACTCCACTAGGATTATTATCACCGATATGATTTTTGTCATCTCTCATCGGGAGACCGAACTAGTAGACCCTGAATGCATATATTCCTTGAATCGATCATTATCGCCTTGACGACTATTCATGGGATGAGTCCCGCGACCTCGATCTGTCCATGAATGACTCAAGCCAACGAGCCTCAAGCACGAGGGGGGAAGAGCTACTTCCTGTCAATGCTTTCGTGAGAGGTGCCTCCTCCCAAGGAGGGACACGAATTGAAAATTTTCGCTCTCGGCTACTACGTATCATGTTCCGACAGACCCAAGGTGCTCGGCAGAGATAATCTGCTCGGGTGAGTGGGGGCTGGAATCCGTCAACGGAACGATTAAATTTCTAGTACGGATGATCTCCGGCAATGCCAGGCCTTGCTCACAGGCTATGGCAAAGAAAAACGTGACAGGTCGAGAGCCGCTGGCCCAGACTAGTGCGCCCGAAACGTCTCGCGATTGACCGTGTAAGATTCTGATCGAGACCGATTGAGGATCGCCTCCTTCGAGGGATGTCTCAATTTCGCTGACCCCATGTCGTTTGATGCCTTCCAAAAAAAACAACGATCACTGGAGGATGCCTGCTTGCATCTTCTGCTCGGCCAGCGTCTCCAATTCCGCTCGGGGGTCGTTTCGAAATACCTTTCCCACTCCCATGCTCTCGAAACCATAGAACTCCGTTCGTTCTTGGCAGAAACTCATTCGTGACCTAGCCTTCGAGGGAAATTTACGGCGGACCCATTCTCATTCGGGCGGTCGGTGATGGCGTCGGGCACTCCTCTCGACAATTCAGACATCTCACCCGATTCGTTTGAAATTTGAGAAAATATTTGCCCGCACAACGAAGAAGTCGACTTGGGTTGGAACGACTCACTTCCGACTAGCGCACGGAGTCGACTCCCATCGGGACATACATACACGAAACCGACTGAGACACGCTAAGGACCGCAAGAGCTTCTCGTTTCACTGAAATTGACTCGTCCGGCGGAGGCCTCAATCTTTGGGTCGGAAGTCAAGGAGCAGTGGAATTCCGGGAGCATGATGATAAGCAGAGATATCTTCTCCGGCTACCGACCAAGAATTCTATGATCTTTGATGAGCAGGAGGAAGAACGAAGAATCGAAGCTGTTCCCTATCATTATTATGATTTCTAGATCCTTCACTCCTTGGCGTTTTGATAATAGTATTGTCAAGCGAGCCTAAAATTGGGCACCAGAAGACGATCCAAGCTGATAATAAGACCATATACATGAGGAAGGAGTCAACCATCAATCCAACCATCGAGATGTCCTTGACTCCTCTCGAATATTGAGCCGTCAGCTCAGAGCCAGCCCGAGCCGCCTATGGCTCAAAAGCTAGTACGCATTAATAACAATTGGCGCTGTATATTCCGAAGCTCAGCTCAAATGTCTCAAATTCTCACAGAGTTTCGCTGACGCGCCAGTCTACGGCTTTCAATTTCGGTCATCCGATTTTACCATCGAACGCTTCCGATGAACTCTCGCTCGAATTCCGATGGCAAGAACACATTGCACGGGCCACCAATCGCCTATTCACAATAAATCAGGAGCAGCTTTCCAACAATCTGAACTTGGTGAGTGTTACTTTTCCGAGTAGTCCCGGAGCCGATCAGCTCTACAATGGCGTATTTGAGGGGGGAGGGTAGAGATGGTCGCCTTTGGATCTCCCACCCAGGGGTTCCGCTTCCCCTTCCACATACCTGCCAAGCCGTGGGAGCACAGATTCGTCAAATCTCTTCCCCGAGGAATATTAACGACCCCCTTTGAACCGTTTCCGTGACGAACTCTGTGGCCGTCTGTAATTTCGGGAAAAGAGGAGCGAGTCTTGGAAGTTATCTCATATCGGCATCTTCCTAAGGTGAAGAAGAGCTTCAGTGATCGTCGCAGATCCTTCTTAGCCGACTGCAGTAAGAGGCCGAGATCCTCTCGGGACGAGAAGTCGGTTGGGCCTCAATATGTAGTGGGCTCGAATCCAGAACGACTCTTGCTTAAAAAATGCGTCTCCATGTTCGTCCTCGCGGATTTCACCAAAAAGATTGGGTAAGGACAATTCTGACCAGAAAATCATCGAAAAGCTATCCCATAATCCACCCAACCGGAGATGTCATCATGTCTTTGAAGCACTGAGACCGACTCTGAAAACTTGCTCGATGCTACACCCTTGGACACTGGGCACGTGCTGGTGGAGTTACATCTGATTGAGGACAGTTACGGATTCCAACTCCGGGTGATACCAGATTTCTCGGATGAGCCGTACACTCTCCGAGGAAACTCAGAAAGTAAGCCACAACTCCCGTTCTCGCCCTTGCTTCTTGTGCCCCGCCAGCAAACCCATTCTGCTCTTGATTTTATGGACGTTATTCGCGTTCTCCTTTCAGACACCTACATCATGTCGGTCACTGTGAAAAAGCCAAATGTTTTACAAGACCTCCAAATATCGTTTCCTCGACCGACGAATGAGAAGAGTGTGTTCCTGTCCAAGAAGATGGCCGAAATGTCCATAGCTCAACCCAAAGAAGGGCAGATCAGAACCACGATTTTCGGGGAAATCGGTTCGTTTCCTGAGATAGCTCACCTGATGACACCGGATTCGTTGTGGTCTCTAATTATTATCTATATATCTAGTTATCACATTTCGACAAATGAGAATTCCTCGTCTAGTTTCAGCCGTGGGTTTTCCGAAGAACAAAAGTTTATTCGTTCTATATACGGCATCTTCGCCCCATGGTGAGCAGCTCTGAGAAGCATCACGATGATAGCTTCAATCAGACGTTGAAGATTCGAAGTCTCGTCAATCGTTTATTTTTTTCAGGATGGAGCCTACTCGGTAAACGGGCTGAGGACGAGCTGAACGCCACGTTCAGTAGTATATCCCTGCGATACCGTCCACCTGGAGCGGCGATTGCGAAGAACATCGCCCATTTCGGGCATCCATTCCACTTCAACTACACGACTACGGAGCCGGAGAATTTGCCGAGGATGCACTTCAAGGTGAGAATTCGCACAGCTGAAGCTTTCATGATGATGACACGCCCTGATTCGAATAAGTTTGGAACAGGCGTCAGAAATCGCTGCCCTTCCTCCATTGAGTATTCCTTCGATGAGGCTTCGGGCTCTCGATGGAGGGAACTATTTCGACGGTTGACGTTCCCATCTGGTCCTCAGGTCGTGCATTTTGATGTGAATACTGAACGATATCATACGCTGGCAACGGGGAGTGCTTCCGTCGGGGAATCGAATCTGGCTCGCGTTCCTCTGGTGAGGACGATTCCCAAAGGTTTCGTCGAACGTCTCAGAGAGAGATTCATCGGAGGGAGCAAATGTCTGACCGGCATTGTTGTGGGACAGGTTGAGTACCATTGACGTTGTGGCTAACTTTTCAAGACACAAGTCAAGCCTCGTAAGGTCCGAGATTCCAGATATGGGCATAGCTTGGTCGAGTCCCGGGGCTGAACCACGGCGAATGGGAGAAGAGCGTTCTCATCACAAATCGTTGATCTGAGGATCGAATCAGTGCGTAGCCATAACGATCGCGTTACCTCCTCAGAAAATCGCGAGCGACTCCTACACAGTCCCCGAGGGCGAACTAATCGTCCGCGTACAAGTACTCCGGCAATCACGCAAATATCGTCTTGAAGATCTCCTCATCGAGTCGCAACTCCGTTTGCTCAAATCGTCGGGGTAAGCCCGATTCTGGAGATTTGTCAAAACGGGATTCGCTCATTGTCTGCAGAATAAGAAGTCGAGCTGGATACCGGGATCGGTCCGAAACCTTACGTGAGCGTCGGAAATCGGAAAATCCATCTCGTTTTCCAGGCAAACCTTATCCACCGTACAAGTCGCTCTATCGGCATTCCAAGAAGCTCGTCTGAAGATGATTCAAGCGCGACAAGAACAGAAGCAGATAGTCGACACTGAAGTTTCGAACCAAGAGACTCGTCAACGTAGCGCTCAACGCAGAACGCGATGAAGCCTCCTGGGGAGAAAGATGAGAGGATACGATCTCGCAGCTCCGCTCGTCATCAGAGGTACTCAACTATGCTCAGGACGACTCCGTACTCGGAACTGAAGCGGGAGAGGACCGAAAATCAGCCTCCCTGGCTGATTTTGAGCTTGACTGGCGATGTATGTAATGAGGGAAGAAGAATGCTCTCGAATGAGCTCGAGGGACCGAGAAAGCAGAACCAAAGGCGTTCGGAAGTCGTTCCGTTCCCTTCTACTCTCGCGGCGCTTTCCTTGAATGAATGAAATTCTCCGAAGCTCGCGCGGTCCCAATATTCCCACAGAGCCTCTCTTCTCCGTACGCAGATGCCTGATTCCCGTGATCCACGAATGAGGCTGACGTTCCTCAGATGCCGCTCACCGAAACTTCCCCATCATAGAATGCTGAGACTGTCTCTGACCACAGGCTCACTTTCCGATGAGTGACTGAGGTCCTCCACATACATACGCGAGTAATATAGCCTTCCATGGGAGGAACGCGCTGCCGCCTACAGGTGTAACCCATTCCCTCCGAAAAGGCAGTTTTCTTCCCCTGAGTTTAAAGAGCTATGATTTCCAGTGCCTGGGGCGGTCATTCCCGCGAAGACGGACCCTATTGTGGGGAGCACAAACTCCGTCAGATCAGATATCTCAGCGTCCACTGATCTAGAGTTGCATTCGCGACAGAAACTTTTGTACTGACCCTAGACTCTCAAACTCTTGGCAGGAATCTCGATAAGGAGGGAACCTGCCCATAAGCATCAGCTCGGTCCATGGCGTGGGCGAACATTACTTCCCGCTAAATGGGGTGCTGGCTTCTACACGGGTCGCTATGAGAGTACGGGCTCTTGAACTTGAACCAAAATCTGGCGAGAACCCGTCAGATATGAGCGACTTCTCTTCGTTTAGCATACAAAACGTATTTCGAGCGGCAACTACATATATATGTGGTGAATTAGATGCTCCCCCCAAGAAGTATATTTTCGTGCTTTTGTTATTTCTCCTGCTTTCCAGCACGGTCGATGCGCGTCGGGTCGTTTGCACGTCTTTGGGGCAACCCAGAAAAATGGGACGGCGCTCAAGATAGTAGCGAGAAGTGACTTATTGTCCTGCGATCGCAACTCTTTGTCTCGGAGGCTATCCGAAAATGATTATGCTATTTTGAGTTCGAGTTCTCCGAAGCCAGGGGGCGAACAATGCGCAGCTCGAACAGATTTTGACGATGGACTTATCCGCATAAATTCACGAGGTGTGGTTTTCCAGGCCATGAATTGTATTCAGGTCCCCTTCATTCTCATTTCTCACAGAAGTCCTCAGTATCCTCGAGGGTTAAATCCTGGCAGAATTTACCGGGAGATCTTATGCGCGGATCATGATTTCGGTAGGATTCCGCTCGACGATGAGCGGAATCAAGGCTGCTCGGAGGAGGACTTTTAATCCCGTCATGGATAGCCGCCACGGCTCCCACAAAAGAGGTTCGGTATGAGGTGCCGACTCTCATCCCAGTCTGATAAACTCTTTCTTATCGGTTCGTTCATGACAGCAAAGCTCGATCCGGTAACACAGGATGAGCATCAAAACTATCGCTCCGTCTGCTGCTCGAGAAGGGCGTTCCGGAATCATGATTTCTTCCCACCCGTGCAAGCTCGTGAAATTCGACTCGGTACTCATGCGGCAGACCTCACCGGTGCGGTCAGCAAGCGGTGCGTCGCAATTGTGACAGTTGGCAAGAGTAATTGGCAGCAGACGTATGTCAATCATAATAAACGATGGAAACAGACAGTGAGTCCGTCGCCAGGATCGACCGTATGAGGCAGGGTCTTCACTCAAGGCTCTCCACATGACAGAAGCACTCTCTTCGGGCCAATAATCTTAGAATTCCGAAAAAATCTGAAAACATGATCATTTCCTTTCATAGATACTTATGCTCACTCGAATTTTCCTCTTCCGGGCAAATAGGGCCCGTATCGGATTTTATACGGCCGCATCTTTCCCTGGTCCAGACCTAGGCCTGAGTGCTTTTAGTCCGGGGCCGGCCACGTGGTCACTGTGTTTCGATTGCCCGCGTGTCAACCTCGCATCCATGCATTTTTTCATCCCACATTCCCGATCAAACTCCGCGGCATATGCTCCCCTGGCAGAACAGTAACCCATGTAGCAGCGCTGGAAAGCTCTCTCGGGGCCGCTTGCCGATCATCTTAGTCAGTGAGTAGAATCGCCCAAAGCTACCCGAGATCCAATGATGCAGATATGCGCCCTACCGCAAGAGCTTCGCTTTGCATAGTCCCATCGCGAGGAACAAGGAAAGTGTACACAAAGGGGGGGACAAGGAAAAGTGAACACAAAAGGGGGACCTGTCGCTCTGTGACGATGAGGGAAGCAAACGCGATCGTCATCTGTTCCTGTCCATTAGAGTCTCAGTCGGACGAATGAGGAATCCAGGGACAGTTTCTGTCGTGACTGTGAAGACTCCTCCCCCTGCTACACGAAGATGAGCGTGATCTCGGATAGCGGCGGAGTATGCCTTCAATCTGCACGGCTGGGCAGCATACAAGTTGAGGTTCGTATTGGTCAGTCGTACGAAACTCTATCCGACATCCCTTGGGAGAAAACTGTGGTGGATCATCAAACATATGAGATACACCTCGAGTGATCTACACCGGGCAATTTTCAATCGACGAGCATCCGCTGATCTCGACTTATCCACCACTGATACTAGATTCTCAGGGGATCATCGACTGCGTAGGGCTCGGGTGGAATTATATCAGGAGCGTCAAGAGTTACGGCTGGTAATGTCATACTGCCAGATATATGCTTCCCATAGTTTGAGGAGGAACTACAGATCTTCGGAGTCGCCTGAGCTCCGGAATTTCTTCACAAAGATGCTCAAAGATGAGTTGTCTTCAGCTTGGAACTTGGAATCCGAGCCGCGAAATTCAGCTTGGAGTTCGCCCGTCGCCGCTGACAGACCCCAGGGAGGCACCTCCGTGTTCTGTTCCGAGAGAGCAATCCGTCCGAGCCGATCCGAAGGCTCGTCCTACCTGTACTCGTGCCTTGGAACAGTCGATAAACAGTAGTCATCCGGAAGCGGTCTAAGGCTCGTCACGACTAGGTGTGGTGACTCGATGTGGCTTGAGGCCAGTCGACTTCTCCCTCGATGAGCAGAGCATGGCATCTGACTGATAGTCAATTTGCTTGTCCGACCACGCATAACGCGGCGGTAATCGCCCTCCGAGCACTTCACGGCTTTGAGCAAGTACAAACAGCGCAGTAAGTGCGTTCCGACTCGTAATCGGTACCGGTGGAGGCTCCCGCGTAAAGTCGAGAAGCCGAATACACGAGACGTTCTAAATATGATGCTTCCTGGCAATGATAACGAGCCCATGATCGACGATCTATTCAGTAGAAGGGCGCGTCATACTCTCCGCCCACAGTCCAGCTGTCCCATACCGTTTCGCGAAGCGCGACAGAATCACATCGGTTTGAAACTGCGATTCCCGATCGAGACGGAATGCCGACTTCGTCAGACTCAAGTGACCGAATGAATACCGATGACTTGTCTTTATTACCGCCAATTTATTCGATCTCGGGATGGCCCTCCGAGTAGACGGGAGATGGACACATCGTTTTACAGTACACATTTTTCGCAGGAAATGGTGACTCTCTAACAAGGCAGTCTGGTTTCATACTGGCGTGGTTCCGATTGTTCAAGCACGAATGTTGAAGACGCCATGAGTGCCGTGCACGAAGGCATCCAGGAAAGCAAGACCCTGGAAATCCAGACACAAAATTGATCATCACTCGACCACGGACACCTAAGATCAGCCGTCCTATGAAGGCTCGAATCGGCTTTAGCGGATTACGCGCATCAGAATGCTGTCTTCTCGAGTGCCTGAGGCGGAGTCATTCGATTTCCGCGAGACGTTCATACTTACAACAGTGGCCCAGTATTTGGTTTCTTTCGAGCCTGAGGTATTGATGATGGACCAGACGGGCACACCGATGAAAAGGACGAGAGCCACGAAGTGGTACACCTTGAACTGGAAGTGCAATCATGTCAAACGGGACTTCACCCTATCAATGAATGTTCATGTCATGTCGAGACTTGATGAATCGAATGATCGACATCAACATATACGAGCCTGGATCCGCATACTCACGTAGAAAGTTCCCTCAGTTCCACTTCCAGACAGCAGAAGGGAAAGGAGGATGAGTATACCGTTCGCGAAGAACAGGAACGCCGTGTACTGCAGCCATCTCATGGGGTCTCCGGCAAAGTTATAGGCCAGGGAGAACACGACGACTCCCAAGAGCTGAAATTAGAGGAAATCCACTCAGTGTCTCAAAATTTCCAGCTTTGATAGCATCTTTTGTTTTGATAGATGGATAGCTCCCGGGATCATCGACGTGAACTGTAGAATGCCTTTATCGAATAAGATCAAATGTTATCACGGCGCGACTTGAGGACAAGCGAAAGCAGGGACCTAGGATTATAGAGGCGTCCGGTCTATCGCTCGCTGATTCAGCTTCCGATAGTCGTTCGAAAGCTGTTCCCCGAATCGAACCTACGACAGCGGTCTTAGGCCTACCCTAAAAGGGATGGGTGTGGTCTTCCCTGGCCTCTGAACCCGCTCAGGGAACGGAGAGCGTAAAGAAAGAACACTGGCTGCCTCTGAACATGATGGTGGATAAGAGCTCGCGGTTCTTTGTTTTCCATATGCGGACCTTGGAATATGAGCCCTTGAGGAAAACAAGAGATGCGTGGAATAGAACTCCGCCGGTAACGAGATGGCGACTTCAAGTCTATGAGCCTTGTCGAGTATGAATTATCCTCGAAATCTTCCAAGTTTTGCAAGCGATTATTTATACCCGAATGGTTTCATGAGTTGAGCTTGATGCGCGTGGAGCCGGGCACACGGCGAGCACACGCTGAGCGGAGACTTTCGCTTCAGGCAGAATCCGACGAGCTTTCGCCGATCGTACACCATACGTGGGCGGTCCGGCGAAGCTCAACACAACAACGACGGCGCCGAGCGCCAGAAACGTCAACAACGAACAGCGCCGTTCCGTGGAGAATACCTTTTACGGCGGACAAGCGTCCGGCATAGCGTCGGAGACGATTCCGGCGATGGCGAAATGCCGAAAATACTTAATTGTCAGTTGCTGTCCGGATTGGGCTGCTTCAGTGGGGTACATCATGAAAGGAGACCTTGGCATTGATACCTACTGCGATCCGTGTCGCTGCTTTGATGCTTTCATCGCGTCAGGAAATTCGCTCGAAAGCCGCTCTGACGCCGACGCCGACGTGGGTGCGGTTCACAACGAAGGCAACGAGCGAAATGACGCCGTAGCATCCCAATGCCAACAGTTCCGAAGATCACTCATGAGCGTCAAGGAACCGAAACTACAGTGAAATGCGCGAAAATCAGCGAGGGATGGACTCGAATATCCCTACAGCCGCTGGTTCAGAATTTCAAGGAAATCGCCGCGATCTATGCAGTCCATCTTCCGGCAATGTGGTCCAGTGTAAAGGTAGAGATTCGAATGGCATTCTTGTCACGGGAGTCAGCGCGAAGCGGTACAAACGGAGCGATGACGAAGTCGCCGATTCGGAGTGTCAAAACAATTCGCCCTCGACCACTCAACAGGTCCGTCGCGCCGCGCGCATATGTCATTCCGTGAGAGCGGGAGAAACTATCTTACTCCCAAGCAAGCACAGGAACGAGTATTCGGATTCGGCCACTCTTGTTTCCAGAGGATGGTCTCAATAAGCTTTTCTGCACACGGATATTGAGCAAAGAATAATGGAAGTCACGATAAGGATCGGTGTACGCTTACGATTTGAAGGATGGTCAAGAGACCGCTCCTCGAAGTCAATTGGTCGATATGCATGGTCACTGGGCGTTCTCGATGCTACCGAAGATCCTTCCACAGAATCGTTGACTGGCTGACTGACAGCTACGAGAGACGGACCGTCGGTGTAACTATATGGCCAGCGCGCAGTTCGCGGTTCGGCTCAGCCGTGTTTGTGCTACGGCGGCGAAAGTGGCGAGAACTACGCCCAAGGGAGAGGGAATGTCGCCTATTCACCCAGCTTGTATTGCTGAAGTCATCGAAACCCGGACAGATGATGCTCTCGGAAGGCGGATTCCGGGAAACTGCAACAGAGTACCGAATTCTCAGGGATGTTGGCGCTCTATCCCCTTCTCTACAACATATGATTCGCTCGCGAATCTACTCGGTCTCGGGTTCTCTCCTTCACAAAAGAGCCTCTATTGCGAACTATTCGAAACGTCCAGTGGGAGTGCCACCGATCACCGTCGGAAATTCGGATGAGAAGGACAGCATCCGAATTTCCTTGCCGCTGAAATCATTCGGGATCATTATGAATTGATGGAATTTCCCCACGCTCCCTGTTCTGATGAGCGGCTCAGATGGAGAAATCTGAAATCCTTGACGGGCAACAGCACCGGTGGCTCGCACAAGGCGTATTCTTGATCGCGAACCTGATGGAGAAAGCCTCTGGGCGTGGTTGGTGCCGTAAAGTCTCGTAGCCAAGAGAGACGTCCCGGGATTGGATGCGCCACTCAGCCGACTGGTCAGCCTCCGAGGAGGCACGCAGAGTACGTTGTTCCTATCTGTGCGACGCCCCATGGCTTCCGGAGCCTTCTCGGTTTATGTCAAGGTCGGGTCGGCAGACATTCATGACGTACAGCCTACTTTGCGAGTCGTTGAATTCAATGAGCTTTATTCAGCCAAGAGACCTTCTGTGTATTATCGCGGACCCGGTTATCTGACGATTCTCCCAGAGGATTTTTGAGGAGTCTCGTCTGCCTCTCAGGATACTCGCGATTGGAATGCACTCAAACTTGGTCAGACTAAGCATCTGTGTGTCTTCGGGTATGACCCGAACTATCCCCGGAGTCAAATATCCGGAAGACCTCTGTACCCGTTGAGGGACCGCTAGATCCATCGGTGATTCCAGTCCGTGGGAATTCTCCCGTCCCAGTCCCGGAATGAAATTCGACTGCTGCGGAGGCCTGGAGCGGTGGAATGTTCCGCCATTGACTCACAGGGAGTCCGGCTTAGGAAGAATCTCGAGCGTCGCTCCTCGTATTACGTCAATGACCGCAAGCAGGAAAGCGGGACCGGAAAACTTGGCTCGCTCCCAAGATTCCTGGGCGGTCGATCAGCACTGAGCTGATACACGCCTTCGGCTCTTTCTCCCATCTTCCCCTAGAGCTATCCTAATGCGCTACCTGGGGAAGACTCGAGTGCATAGAAGACGGAAGAAGTTCGCTGGCCAGCTCGGCTCGTAGAACTCTGTCGTCAGAATTGCTCACGACGATCTCAGACGAACCGCCACTCGTGATCTCAGGAATCTGCCTTTCATGGGAAGTGTCGCGAAATCCCTAAAGCCGGCTCAGACGGCGCAATCGCGAGATTGAATCTCCATCTGGAACGCGAGAGTAACGATAACGCCCAAGATGAACATGAGGCTCCGGAAGTTAGTTCAGTATCTGGGCTCGTACTCTCGAGCAGATAAGTTCGCGGCAATCCGATCTATAGTTTTCGCAAGCCTATCCGGCTCGACCAGAGGCAAGCAGGTTCGACCCGTCAGAGCGATTATTTGGCTGTCCCTTGAGCTGCTATCTAATCCAACTGGATTGAGTCGGGTCCCCCACGAGTGACGAACAATGAGCGTCGTATCCGCGTCACCTAGGCCAATCTTGTAATCTCGCTCGTACGATATCGACCGCTCCGAAAAGATAGAGATTATGAAGTATCGAATGCCTGGATCAGCGGTCCGTCACGAGAAATTCAAGGGAGATCAAGTCCGGCAGGAAAACAAACTGCGAGCCACCAATTCGGATAATGGGGCTGAGCATGCTCATTGGCAGGGGTTGAGTCTCCTCTTCGGGAATGTGGAGACTTAATCCGCGAAAGCCCATGTACAGTAGACTCCACTTAATGGGACCACATCGGGACCAAGCCATCTCGGGCCCAATAAGCTGGTGCTTCGACTATCCGGGGTGATTTTCACTAGAAAACGTTGTTCGGGGATCCGGATTCCGGTCCAATTAAGCGAAGGGTCCGATTATCCGTTGGTCTCGTTGAGTGGAGTTCACTGTACTTGCTCGTAGCGGTGGGTTCTCAGGGATCCCTCTTCCGAGCGTCGCACCAAGGAATGCGAGAACTGGGTTTCAAAGATGCGCTCGGAGGAGATCAGCCTTGCGTACTGCGCGATCCCCTCGTCATCCGCGCAGCCACGCAATGCGGAAGCGGATCCATATGATTTCGACCACTCGCGTGCCGTATCGGGAATCCCCGCGGGGCCTTTTTCCGGTGATGCGGATCCTTGAAGAAATTCCGTGGCGCCTTTCGATGTCAGAGCTCAGGACTAATAACCTTCCGGAGTCTCGCTTTTCTTCGGGAGATGAATCCTCTGAGGATCTTCCCGACGCCAGCAAACTCGATGGCACTCCTCGCAACCTCCTCTCAGTACCTTCCTGCTCGGCTGCCTGCTTTCTTCCTACCTACCCGAGTGAACGAGCGGCGGTGTCAGCCGGTCGGACCCTGCTGGTGTCGGACAGTCGTCGTCTGAGTGCGCGGGTAGAGGGACCTGTGTTCTCCGAGGGACTTTGACTCCCAACAGATCAAAGCCGGACCGGGACTATGTCTTCGAGACGCAGGAGTTCCCTTGTAGCTGTCCATGCTGATAAGGGCAAACAGGAGGGCAGTGTGCCGTTGAGCGGCATACTCATCCTCCTGATGGTGGTTGCCGGAATCGCCGCCGTCTGGATAAATGGTGAGTCAGTCCGCCATTATCTTCGAGTTCTCAGGAGGGCTCGTGCTACATCGGCGATGGTATCGACGCACGAGTCAATGGAACGAGCCGATTCTCGAACATCAGACGAGCATGCTAAATCGCTTCGAAGTCTCCGTGTTTGAAGACCGATTACAGTAGGGGACTTTTGATCTCAATCGACGGGTCGTCGTCGGGGAACTCCCTCATGAGCTCTTCGGCCATTGACCATTATTCCTCGTCGGTGATCAGCAACAATGAGAATCGTCGTCGAACAGTGTAGACACTCGGTGTCGGACATCTGATTTGTTTCTTTCGGATTGTTTTCGTTAGATGAAGATATTGAAGGAAAAAAGTCTTTGTTCCTTGCGTGGAAAACGATAGCTCATCTGATCGCTGAGAAGTTTACCTTGCGAAGCGCAGTACTCGAAATTTGTACCTGAGATGAGCCTGGAAGGAGGTCAGCATTCGACCTTGAACGAGAGAGTCGGACCAGAACGCTTCGCGCAGACTGGGCTTAGGGGCCGGCATTCGCTGCTTCGGAAATAGACCTGGACCCATGAATGTCGGAGATGCCCAGGCGCGGTGCGAAGCTGAGACGCCTAGATGGCGCTCACCTGTTTTGGATAACAAATTATTCGAGACGGTCCATAACGAGTCGCCGGAGAGTAACGATTGTTTCCGGACAAGAAAGGCGAGAACCCCAGCGCCCATTCCCTTGACAGACCGTAGTCATTTCTGAATTCGACTTGGTACGGAAATTCTTTTTTATACAGATACTTCCCCTAGTGACACGAGCATATGACGTGATCACGCTCATAGAGCTTCTCGCGATTTGATGTCTCCGCACTCCGCACCAATCATAGTCTAGGACACTCACATTGTTTCTATTCTAGACAACTGTCCTAACCACACTGATGAGTAACCGGGGTGCTCTCCTTTGCAGAGTTTTATCCTGGCGATTATGATTGAGAGGCTCAATGATTGAATGGGCTGGAGGACGAAACGAAGCAAAGGAGAGCGGGCCCCTGGACTCTACACACAACAAATTCATCACCTCCCACCAACTCTCCTGTATCCTGGTCTTGGCGGCTTGGAGTTTCCGGATACCACTCCAGCGACATCGTCGATCTTGCGCTCGAAATGAGCTAGCAAGTCGAAGACGTTTGTCGGAGTTCTGCGTCCGGGAATTCCAACTGCTCCTCATAACAGTCAGTCATTTACTCATGACGTTGTCGCATAAATATACATCATGTGACATTCTTATCGAATATGCACTTAGACTTGTAGATCGAATCGTGTGAATAAAGTTGTTTGCTACGGTTTTATATGAAAATGAGAAAGCGTTCTCAGCTCGGGATTTCGCTATTATTTGTATTTCCGTACCGCTCCAGACTGATCGGCGACGAACTGGAAAGCCTTGAGTGACCCACACTGACGTTCTTTTCGACGCATAGATTTCTCCAGGCCCCAAAATCAGTGGGATGCATCATCGTAACCTTGTGGACGAGACAGATTTCATGAAGGAGATCCTCTCAAGTGTTCGGCTTCCGCACAGCTCGGGAACCATCAAATCAATGCGTTGAGTCTAAATCAGTCAGAGTGATTCAATACAGGATCACTGACCTGTATTGAATCACACGAATTCTGCCCCAGACATATATCGTATCTCCCGATATATGTCTGGGCTCATGAGATTTCCGTAAGAAAAATATGGGGCGGTCGTCCCGCTAGATGGCACGAGCTTCATTTCGTAGGCTCATTCTGCCCACGAAGCTCGCTGCTGTCCCCTCGATTGACGAATCCCAGGCGACCGGAGTGTATCCGATCGCGATACGGCGAATCGATCAGTTTCGGAAGGCAGAGAATCTCTCCGGTAGAATATGGTTCATCATCAGCGGGGCAAGAACACTGGGAAATGAGCGGTTTCATGACCATAAGGTTTTCGTGGCTTGATTGCGGCGAGATCTCGATTGTATATCAGAAAATGCTCGTGATCTGGCTGGGCGTTGATGGATACCCTAGAGACTTTGGACAAATAGCAACGGGGGTTTTCCAAATATTGTATGCTACGATCGGAATCGGCAGAATAAAGGGTCTCCATATCATCGAGGGCAAACCTAGGTAAATGATATGTTCGTATGAGATGGGGCCGGCTTCTCTCGAAAGTTGAATTCCTCGATTACTTCGGTCGGGCGGCATCTAGCCAGCGATAATAAGCGTTTGACATTCTTTGCAGAATTCACAATTAGCGCGGAAGATCTCGGCCCAACCACTTTATGTGAGTCCGAGACATAGATGAAGCCATTCAGACTCCGAATCCCTCATATGGATGGGGGCCAAGTTCAGAATGAAGATCAGGCCGCTGAAGAGAGAGCCGTCAAGGCTCAGCAGACTCGAGGATCAATACTCTTTTTCCGTTCTAGACCGAACTGGCAAAGCTCGCAAAGCGGGAGGTCGAAAGCTGCATCAATTTCTTTGCGTGGGTGCCACTTCGTTGAGAGACTGCGAATGCGACAAGGTCAGGTTCTGTGTTAATTGGAGGTCGCTGCAGTAATTACATCCCCTGCGTCTATTCATATCTCGGAGTACCTACTTGATCTCGTATAAACAATACTCCTTTAAATAGGTCGTTTCTGACGCGCTACATGACTACGTCGAGAAACACACGATACGAGACGATGACTCGGAAGAAGAGATCAGAGCCAAGAAACCGAAAGGGGTAATACCTGCTTCTTCGCCAACGCTTCCCGAATTTCTTCCTGGTTGTAGAGCCACGGCGATTCTTCGGCAGATAATAAGTGGAAGTCTACCTTCCAGACCAAAATTACAAAAACTCCAAAAGTTCCTGAGCCGAAGAAATCCGCTTTCGACGACCCGGTTCCCGTTGTCAAAAAAGTTGAGAAACGAGAAATCAGAGAGGAGCCTCCTAAAATAGATAAAGAGCCACCCGTCGCGAAGCGGCCTGCGAAGGAAGCGAATAAACAGGCAGCACCCCAACCCGCTGCCCCCACGAAACCTTCGAAGGCCTCAGTCCCCGCCCCAGTACCTCCCAGAGTCGTTCAGAAGAAAGCTCCAAAGCCCGAGATCGTCGAATCCGAAGAGGAGGAATCAGATAGCGGGATTGAAGGTAAGCGGGTAAGATTTCGGTGTTGTCGAGGGAGTCCGAGACATGTTTTCTTAGTGTATCGAGTATCGAGTAATCGCTGGAACCTTGAGATCTGTATCTTGAATTTGAAGATAGCGCCGAAGAGCTAGCTGATAGTGAGGAGGACGATGGAACCACGGAGGATCAAAGCGAAGAAGAAGACGAGACCGCTGAAGACGAGTCCGGAGAAGCGGCTGGGAGCGACGAAGGTTCAAAAGGTGATTCCACGGCAAACACCGATTGAGCAAACACTTATAATGAGTTTCCCCGTTTGAGCAAGTATCTAGATCACCCGATTGGCTCGGAGTGAAAATGAAACTGATTCTTGCAGAAAGCGGTGGAGACGATGAAACGTCGGAAGAGGATTCGGCGCATGCCACTCTAGAGGTCGCGAGCACCGAAGAAGAAGACTCAGTCGGAAGCGCCGCCGCTTCTGAGGAGTCAACCGAGGAAGACGACGCGGACCTTATAGAGACTTTTGCCGAAGACTCATCGGACGAAGCTTCGGAAGAGCCAGATGACTACGACGACCAGGATGATGACACCAGTGTAGAGGTGAATCAATCATTAATTGATTATTTGGCGATAGCGGTATCAGTCGATGGATGAACTGACAGCACCACATCAGCTGACTCTCGGCAAGCCGACCCTTGACGTTAATGAGCCGGTTACCACTGCGGAAGTCCCTCTCTGATGACCTAATTATCCTTTATGATTCGGGGAATGAGTCCGACGATGCAGATTCTCCATTCTCGCGATCATTGTGCATAACTTAGGGGAGGGCTCGTCGTCCATAGATCGGTTCGGAAATTTTCTCAACAGTGAGAGTTCCGTATTTCCCCAGGAGTCGGCCGAAGAGGACGACTCCGGAATTCCAGGCGAGGAGAGTGAATCCGGGGAAGCTGGAGAAATTTCTGAGTCGATAGACGAAAGCAAAGAAGATGCCTCAGATGAAACCGGAGAAGTGTCGGCGGAAGCGTCACCTGGGGGCCTGGGGGTCGAAGAATCCGATGAAAAATCCACGGAAGAGCCAGAAGGCAGTGATCGAGAATCAGATGAAGACGTGACTGACGAAGACTCTGAGGAGGATTCAGAAGGAGCATCTCAGGAAGCCGAATCGGAAGAGGAAAGTGCTTCCGAGGATACGTCTGCCGAGAGCTCTGAGGAAGGAAAGAATTCAGACGAGGACGAATCCGGAGAAGGGGAATACACCACTGAGAGCTCGGGAACGGAAGAAGCTTCTGCAGTGGATGATGATTCGGATGCTTCTGACGAATCAGGAAGCGACGCCTCCGAAGAGGATAAATCCGCAGAAGTTGGTGACGAGGATACCGGGGTATCGGTAGAAGAAAATGGTTCCGAGGAAGATGACGAATCCGAGGAGGGAGATTCGTCGGGAGAGGCGTCCTCGGAGGCCACCGAGGAAGACGAAGAGGATGAGTCGTCAGAAGAAGATGCGAGCTCAGAGGAGGAAGATTCAGAGGAGGAGTCCGAGGAGCAGGACTCTGGAATAGAAGGGAGCGACGAGGAAGCCTCTGAAGAAGAGGGATCTGAAGAAACTGAGGACGAGTCCGAAGAAGCATCGGAAGAATCCGAGCAAGACGAAACAGCGGAAGAGTCCGAGGAATCGGAGCCTGATGAGTCTGCCGAAAGCAGTGAAGAGGAACAGGAGCCCGAACCCGTCGTAATTACCAAACCGAAGAAAGGAAGCAAACAACCGAAGGAAGCACCCATACCCAAAGTGGTCCTCGATGGCGTCCGCGATCGCAGTCACATCGCGGAAGCTCTGGGCTTCTCAAAGATCGGTACTCAAGATGATGTCAAGGAGGAGAAACTCATTCAACAAATTCTCAAGGACATAAAGAAAGCCGCTACCGATTCCATCAAACCTCTGGAGAAGGACTTCAAGTTCAGCGATATCAGTCAACGCGTTCTGGGAGGTGGGTTCCGCCGCTTAAAACTCAAAGAATCGTCGTTTTGTTAGATGAGGTGGATAGGTCGTGACCGACTTGATTCTCTCAGATAGTAATTAGCCCTGTCTCTCTCGCAGACGCCGAGATATTCAACAAGCCCATGGCCCTCTTCTTGGGACCGTGGTCGTCTGGGAAATCGACAGCTATCAACTATCTTTTGGGTACGTCGTTTGTGCCGTGCAGAATATGTAGAGCGCGATGGCAGATTCCTCTCGTCATTGTGTCCTCGAATGAGCGACTGATTCCCTCTTGAGCCCTGATGATACGTATCGTCGTATTCCAGGCACTCACGGTACTCGGGCTGCTCTAAAGACTGGACCCCAGCCGACCGATTCGTTTTTCACAGTTCTGCACCACAACGAGGAGGGGATCGTGCGGTTAGACGGATTTCGTGCTCTTATGACTACCGTCTCTCATTTTCAATTAGACGTTATTATATACAATACCGACGATCCACCTGATCGTTCTCATTAAAGGGAAAGCGGTCTGCAAATGGCAGGCGACTCGTCGTTTTCGGGCGTGAATAAATTCGGTTCGGCGTTCCTCTCTCATTTCCGAGGCATCGGATTGAACCATCCCCTCCTAAAGAAGGTCAGTGTACAATCTATACAAGGTTTTGGTCTGAGTCCTCGATCTGGGGACTGCTCAAGATACCTTAGCTGATACATCATTCAAGGTCATGATCGTGGACACACCTGGGATCATCGATGGTCGACGATTCAAGGACTTCCCACTGCACGATGTATTCCAGGTAGGAAATGCCAGTGTATGAGATTAGTGCTACCGATGTTAAAATAAACATCTCTCCGGCAATCGATAGTCTATCGACATTGTCTCGGTCGGGAGCTCTCTGGCCGTCCGCAAGCTACGAGTGCCGTTCCTGCCTTGTACCACTGCCTCAGGGAATAAGAGAAACTCCCGCTCCCGCATTGCAGTGGTTCATCGACAGAGCTGACGCAATCTACGTTATGTTTGATCCATCTAAGTTGGAGATTGGTCTGGATATGAAGGTAGGTCCTCGAGACGGAGTCGTGCAAACGGTGTCCGCGGTGATATTTATCTTTCGTATCATCAAGAGCTGTGAACGAACGAGCAATTGAACTCAGACCTTGTTGGATCAACTGCGTGGGAGGGAAGAGCAAACTCGATTCCTCTTGAACAAAGGCGACCTCGTCGAAGCATCCGACGTAATGCGCGTCACAGGTCAGTTCCAGGGCGCCATCCTCATCCGAAGTCATCTACATATGAACCATGAAGCGAACGCTCATTGATGAGGGAGCTCTCGTCCATCAGCTATCAGGTTCCGGTGTCTAATGAAATGGTCTTCCAGGTCAACTTCTCTGGAATGTGGCACCCCTCTTCGGATCCTCGGATGCACCTATCATATACACAGTTTCTATGATAAGCAGGTGAGGAAATGAAAAGAAAAGATGAAATTTCCCTTTGATGTCTTTTTTCAGCACTCTCAGAAGTCGGGTTCTCTCCAAAACTCTCGAATCCTGCCAGGAGCCTTCTGAATTATTATCGGAATTTCTTCCAGACCATATCTACCGGGTAGTCCGATGGAGTACTTCCAGGACCAAGAAGAAGAGTTTTTGCGTCATCTCAGAGAAGTCAGCCCCCCCCCCTCCCATATGGAAAGTCAGACGATTCCTTTATCCACTTGATTCGATTCCCCTTTGAAACGAATTCCTTTCAGGTCATGGAAGAGAGGGTTGAGAACACAATCACCTATGCACGTCGCCATGCGGTTCGAGTCCGGAATCATGCCAAATTGGTCGACTGTTATCTGGAGGCATACTACAAGAACAAGGTGATCGAACTTCCGATTCTATTGCGCCCGCTGTCGCATGCACTCCGGGAGGAGCCCGCTAACGCCGGCTCTCTCGAAACAGGGGATGTTTGGTAATAAGAAGAAGGTCGCGGAGCAAATTATCAAGGATCCTGCGAAATACAGCATATTTGACACGATCTCTCAAAGCAAGAACATTTCCAAGTGAGTTTTTTCCAAATGAGTCGGATATAATCGAGGGGGATCGGACAGCTCAAGATTCGATTTCCCTCGCTTGCGCCCCCTACCTCGCTGATGCTATTTTCGGCGCGCCATCCAGGTACGATCTGCTAGAGCCCGAGGACTACGCGGCATTCTTCAAGCTGAATCCACTGCCAGAATTTTCAAGATTGAAGGATCTCTGTGGGTATGTCAAGGGATGTCCGATCGACAAACTGGATCGAGTCATTGCTTACAATCTGCCACAACTCCTAAAGAAATACCAAGTACGTCACCTCTATTCGGAGCTCGGGAAGCTCCTGCTGCTAGAGTGCATGTGTGTCACTGTCGATAGTCTGGCGCATAATTCCCATGTCCTGGATTTTAGGAGAAATCGTCAGTCTTCCATGACTCGGAGGAGGACAAGGATCAGTCGAGAGCGCAGGTGAAGGTTCCGACGAAGAGTAAATCGAAAGGAAAATCTAAATCTCGATAGGCTACCTGGAAGTGGAGCTAGAGATTCCAATGGGACTACCAAGAGCTTCGAGACTTCTTCCGGCTGGATATCGAACATCATGAAATCTGAGAGTGCGTTGAGAAATTCTGCGCTCGTCTTCGTTTTCGTAAAATATCGCTTGCTGTTTTCGATCCATTTCCTTGCTCGAACGACAACGGCCTCCATATCCCTCGAAGCTGAGGATATCCCTTGCTCGTAACGTCGTGCTGACGTCAGACAAACATCTGATAGCCTTCTTCTTGAAAGCATTCCATTGCTGCCGCTCAGACTCCCGGCATCGCTATTGGAAGTGCTCAAGGCGTCCGTACCTTCGGTACAGCGGATGACAAGGATCAAGTCAAATCGGGTTGTGTACATTCAGGAGGAAAAGCGTGTCAAAATTCTCTACACAACGATTTCAATAGTTGACCGAGGAGCCTGATTTTTTTATTTAATATTTGTCTCCGGACACGACTCGTCGTCGATTCATGAAATATGAAATCGATGCGGGACCGCGGTCTCGGTTACATAGCGAATGAATGGAATAAATTTTGGATGGACCTAGCCTCACACAGTTTCCTTATTCGTCGGGAATAAAAAGTTCCCGGACTCACACCGTGTCAGCTCGTGGAGCATACACTCCAGAATTCAATTTGAAAACTCGTTTACTGGAGCATTTTTCGTCAACTCGCAAGATCGATAGATACTCGTGATGGGCTCCGTCCGAAATGACCCCGCCAATAGTTCAAGACCCTGTCGCTTCGACAACGGACAATGCTGGGTCATTAAATATTCTGCCGAGTCCTATTCGACAATCGTTCGATGTCAGGATCGAAATCTCATTTGTTAAATAGTTTCAGCGCTCCATCATATCCATGTACTAGCTGAGATCCCATGAATATGGTCAACGACCATTTACGTCTCTCGAGAGCAAGAGAAATTTAAGACATTCTGTATCTCTTGTCGGTATCCTTCAGAGTGATGCATCGGAACGTTCCAAAGCTCGTCGCGTGATGCCGCATACGTACGACATGCCGAAAGGGTCGGTAGGGAGGCAGAGTCTCACGAGTGAACATCGCGGACGCGATCGACTACCGCCAAGCAAGACCTTGCGACACTATCCCGCAAGCAAGAAACAGTCCGCCATAATTTGGTTGATTGCGATAATTTGTGTGTTTGGAGCGGCATATCAGACCTTGATAGCTCTGCACAGGTTTTTCGGATACTCGTCGGTCGTCTCCTCGACCCTTGACAAAGAAGCAGCCGAGTTTCCCGGGGTGACGATATGTCCGGAAAATTGGTACAATATGAGCGAAGTCTGTCGATGGTGGCCGAAGAACTGTACCAAGAAAGACGTCGTGAGTCCCATTCACCTGCAGGATCAGAATCCGTTCCTCCAATCTAATTGATCACTCTCAATATCCTTCGTATTCACAGATGCTGTTATACTCGGTTCACAAAGCGACCTGCATGGCCGAATTCCGCGAGTACGGACAGCCTACGCTTGACCAGTTTTTCCAATGCAGAATGGTCAGCCGGGACAGCAGCTGTCCCAGCTTCGACTGCAGAGAATTGTGAGCTCCTCGATGGCTTTCTCGCGTCTCGGAGACATTTCCAGAGACAAGATTCCGTTGAACCGAACTTTTCGCTCCTTCAAACCGAAAACACAATCCTCCCCAGCATGCGCAAAGCGTACTTCAAGCTTCCGATGCGATACTGCTTCCTTTACGATGCTGGCCAAATGCCGAGAGATCATCCGTTCCATCAGTGCTCTTCTCCGTGGCTGTATGGCAAGTCACCTACACTACCGCAATAAATGCGCCGCAAGCGACCGATAAGAAGACGGGATGGCAATAACGAATCGCGCGGATTCGAGTTCAGATAATGGCGTCCTCGATTTTCCATAATTTTCTGCTTCCAGAACTACAATTGGACCTCGTCTGGAATGAGACTATGATCCTGTCTTTCTTCGGAGTGGGGAGCATACCGGTTTACATTCACCAATCGCTGACTAACCCTCCCGTGGACCACGAGGCTATCCTTATGCTGCAAGATAGCCTGATCGAAGCCTCAGTGACTCAGGTCGGATATCTCTCGGACTTTGTGAGCCTTAGCTCTACTCATCGCCCACAGAACTCTCACTTTTCATCATGCTAATCCTATTGACGACGATAAATTATCTTGCTCATTATCGGAAATCGGTGGGAATCGATCGTCGCGTGTCGCCTATAATGTGTGTATTGCAGCGGACGTTGACTCGTCTGCCGTCTCCTTTTGAGACCGACTGCGTGGCCTATCATAAACAAGCTCTGCGGCCACAATGGGGTGGATATTCGACCTTTCCCGGGTGTCTCCAAGAATGCGAAATGGAGCTCGAGTTCGAGGTGAGATGGCTCGATAGTGTTGATTGACCATGTCCCGATGAGGATCGATATCTCCTCCTCCGTTTATGGAGCGCTCAACAATAGTCCCCATATGCTCATCTCGCTCTACTTTGTATGTGACACACGCTTTACGATGTGATGATGATCGTTATCTCCGCTCCCCGGACCCAACCGCCCGCTGTCTCCGCAGATATGCGGCTGCGTGAGAGGCCATTTCGAGTATTCGGGAATTTACAGCGGTAGATTATG